TTCAAATCTTTCACTTGATCGAATCCAATTGCGTATTATCGTGTCCCAAGATTTCCAAATGATTCACCGTCTCTCGCTACTCCTTCGACCAAATCCACCGTTCTTCAAAGTTTCACTCGATCGAATCCAATATTTGCAAAATCTTATGTAAACCACTAAACCAACACTATGACCTTGTAGGACAAACCTTAAGGAAAATTCAATCTTAGGTTTTAATCTTCTGGTATTATATATGAAGTGTTTGATCAAAGTTGACAATGTTGGTTAATATTTTCGATTTTAACCTTATGGAAAATTCAATCTTCAGTTTTTAGTACTAAACCACTAATACCAGAAGTGTACTTTCGTTTTTAAGTTCACTTCGTATATAACCGAAAGTATATTTCTGGTATTATGGAAAATTCATAATGCTTAAAATATTAACCAGCATTGTCAACTTTGATCAAACCATTTCTTCTTCTTTCCACAAAACCTCTCAAAAACTCTTCCATTCTCAATCTAATTTTCCACTCCAAATCTTCATTTTTGTGGTTCATCATATCAAAATGAGCTCAAGGAAGTGGAATTTAAGGTAAAGTTTATTCATTTCAATCATCATTCCTTACATTAATCTGTTTTTCATTGTGGAAAAAGGTTACGCGAAACTGGATGTATGTTTCGGGTTTGTAGTTGAACATAACTGGAAATGCATTTTCGGTTTCTGTCTGTGTTTAATTGACAGCAGCTTCTGCCATGTTCTATGTGAGTGTTAATAAGTTTTATGTTTTTTATAATATTAGGTATGGTGCATCTCGATAACATTCACAAACCTAATGTATCTCAAGTTTTCTCACCTCTCGTATCTCCTATCGTAACTAAGATACTAGATATTCGTGTGCATTTTGATAATAGAGAAGAGTTTGAATTACGTGAATACATATTGTACTGGATTCGTATGGAGGCTACAAAATAAGGATTGGTGTTGTGATTGAAAGGTCTGATTATGGTACGGATAGAAGACATGCATTTATGACTTTGATATACGAAATAAGTAGTAATTATACGTGTCGTATCCAAAAATTGAAACGCGACGACACCGGTTCAAGAAAATGTGAATGTCCATTTAGGTTGCATTTTATCTTTTGGAAAATAACAAATGGATATTTGTGATATGTGGTTTACACAACCATGAATTAAGTCAAAAGTTAGTCGGTCATCCAATTGCATGTCGGCTCCTTTCAGATGAGAAGACATGTGTTTCTGACATGACTTTGAACTTGGTACCACCCAAAAACATACTTGCAACCTTGAAGAGAAAAGACCCAGAAATACATCAAATATCAAGCAAGTTTACAATAGGCGTTATCAATCCAAATTAGCGATTAAGGGGGATCGAGCCGAGATGCAACACCTCTTGAAACTTCTAGATGAAAATAATTATGTTTGTAGGCACCGACGAGGTGATGATGGGGTAAAAGAAAGAGATATTTATTGGAATCATTGTGACTCCATTAAATTGTTCAATATGTTTTCCACTGTTCTCATAATTGATTCAACGCATAAGACCAACAAGTACATGCTTCCATTGTTGCAAATTGTTAGTGTTACATCGACTGAGAAGACATATTATGTTGGTTTTGTATTTCTAGAGTGCAAAAAAGAGGAAAACTTTTCATGGGCTTTAGAGGTTTGTAGTTCAATGTTGAAGGATCAAGAAGATGTGTTGAAAGTCATTGTTACTAACCGAGATACAATATTAATGAATTCGGTTGCAATGATATTTCCACTTCTTATGCATTACTTTATAGGTACCATATTACTAAAATTGTGAGAAGTCGGGTTAAACCCGCGGTGGGGACAAAACGGATTGCAGTGAAAGATGGAAAACTGGTCAAGGCGGGTGTTATTCTGGAGAAAATTATGGATGCATGGAATGTTATCATAAATTCATCTACAAAAGAGATATACGCAGATGTTATTTTACAGTTCAGGAAAGTTTATGAGAAATATCCCGATCTATTTAAATATGTTGAAAGCACAATATTGGATCAGGTAAAGGAGAAGATTGTTTGTGTCTGGACCGATCAGGTTATGCATCTTGGAAATACAACAACAAACCGAGTTGAGTCTGCTTATGCTTGTTTGAAGAATTGGCTGGGAAATGGCAAGGATGATTTGATTACGGATTGGGATTTTGGGAACCAGATGGTACTAAACTAGCATAACGAAATACAAACAACATTTCCTTGTAGTATCAATGTTGGAACACAGATTCAAAGACAATATCCTATATTCTCAGTTGGTCGGTATTTTGTCTCGGGCAGCTCTGAATTATATTTTTCACGAAGCCAAACGAGCTTTTAATGTCGGTTCCGACATCTCAAAGTATGGTTGTACAATTGTGAAAACATATGGTCTCCCTTGTGCTTATGTCATATCTAAGAAGATGAAAGTTGATTGACCGATACGTATGGATGAGACCTCTAGTCATTGGAAGAGACTCAGTTTTGAAGATGACGGTAAAATAAAAAGTGATCAATCAAGTATTTCCATCTTGACTGAATGGAAAGTGATACAAGAAATATTTTTGAAAGCCGATGACGCCACCAAACTCCACATCAAAGAGCAGTTGAGGAAGATTGCATTCTCAAAGACCACAAACTTAAAACCACCATCTCAATCGGTAAAAACTAAAGGGGCACCTAAGAAGGTGAAATCGACACCAGGTGATAGCTCAACTATGGGGAGTCCTTCATATTTTGAATATGTTGACAAAAAATTTCCTGATTCACCTACTCCGAAATCTCAGAAAAGTGCTTTCAAAGGTGCCTGTATTAGCAAACCACCTTCTGCACCAACTCCGCCCAAAATACCATTCATCGATCACATGTCGGTTTTTATACACAAGTACATTGAATGGATCGTCAATGTCGGGGGTGACAGTAACTGTGGTTTTTGAGTTGTTTCTGGTTTGCTCGGTAAACGGAAAGAGGATCACCAACTTGTTCGCGATACTCTTATCAAAGAGTTGAGGGGAAATAAATATTTATACACACGGGTGCTCGGAACTAAAGAGAAAGTTGAAGAGATTTATAACGCTCTTGTACCTTACGTCATTGGAGATGCACCAGAGCATAAATGGATGTGCTTCCCTGAAATGGGTCATCTCATAGCAAGTGCGTATGAGAGGGTGTGTATTAATCTTACAAGATACAAATTCTCGGAGACTTTTTCCCATTACACATTGCTCCAACACCAAATCTCAATGATCCTATCATATGTGTTGGGTGGGTTTCAAATCCGCAGCATTTTGTTTAAGTGTATTTGAAACTGTGATGCCTTATGCCACCTAAATCACCGGAGTGGGCGCTTCATTTCACAATCCCATCTGAGACTTGGTCGGACTAATTCATTAAAAGGATGCAAGAATACAACAACTTGAACAACATTAAAATAGAAAAAAATAGAGAAAAGTCAAAAGGGGTGTCACCAGTGGATTTGACCGGCGACAATTTTTTCGGCTCATTTAAGTAGTTTGGTGTCATTTTATTGTAAATTTTATTTTGTTCAAGTATTATGCTGTGGAAATATAGTCATTTTTGTAGTTTGACCAAAATATAATATTTGAATACATGAGGTTTTTTGAATGATAATATATGTTTCTGGTTTTTGAATGATAATACATAGCCATGATGTTTTTGTTCTGTTTCTGATTTTTCACTCCCAGGGGACTAACCGGAAATATATTTTCGGTTCCAATTTATATAAAACCGAAAGTGTAATTCTGGTTTTAACTCTGACACATGGATAGGATTTGTATAGTTCATGTTTGCCTCCAACTACTATAAATAACCTCACTTGTCATATTGTTTCATACCACAACACCAAAAATCAGAAATGAACATCAAATGGCATGTTGGAGTTGTCCACTTTACCGGCGCTACACCATCATGCGAATTTAAGTTCCAAGTACACGCCTCTTGAAGATCTGCAAGACATATTGTAGAGCCTGCTATCTTATAGCAACAATCACAAAGTTATGAAGATTGTTGACAAAGATGGGAAGCTTTTGTTCAACAACCGTGAGCTGAAGAATGGCGCTGATATACAGACTATGTGGAATACTTTTACCAATTTTAAGGAGAAAGTTCGGATCGAACTAGATGCGACTATTTCAAAATCGGTCGATGATATTATCATGATGTTGCAACGTCCATATAGATGTTGATTTATAATGTTTGATTTATGTTAAAATCCTTAATGTATTTCCTATATTTATGTTATTCATTGTATTGAGTTTGTGAAATTGGTGTTATTCAATGATGTTTTTCTCATTTCTGTGTAATACAAAATCAGAATTACTTCTTCGAGTCAAAACCGGAAATTAAATTCCAATTCTAATATATAGTTTATCAGAATTTAATGCACACCAGAAATATACTTCTAATTTTGAGTGGTATTTATAGAATTTCGTATATTACAGAAGAAATTTTGAGTGGTATTTATAGAATTTCGTATATTATGGAAGAAAAAGCATGAGTGGAATAAGAAATCCCCAAGTAGTAACTCATCTGTAGCCCCCACTTTCTCTTAAATTTCCTTGTCCTTTGACTACGTAAGAATCTTGACACCATATACTACTCCCCTTTCCATTATTGCACTGAATACAATTACTTTGCACCATCACGAGTCCTTTGACCAAGTGACAAAAGAACACTGAACACATACATTCAAAACCAATGCAAACCAAAGACAAACTATCATGTGATTAATTGCTTTTAGAACCTTAAAATAATCAATTATGTAAGCAGAAGATAGGCTCAGCAGAAATCTATACAACACTATCACTAATCTGGCCACTTCACATTAAAAAAATATTCATTATCCAGATGAGTTTTCTGGTTTGATTCTCTTTTCAGATGCAGCAAAATTTTCCAGAGGATACATAAACTTAGAGATATGTCGTATAAATAGTTACTGGAACAGGTCTTATGGTATGTGGTTCTCAATCAATCCTATCGTCAAGATGTTTCAGGCGCATGGCTCTTTGAATGTACCGTCTTTTCAGCAGCTTCTTCGGGCGCATGGCTCTTTGAATGTACAGCCTTTTCAGCATCAGATGGACCGGAAATATCATTGACTGTTTCAATTTCCAAGCTGGTGGTAGTCGCGCTCTTTCTATTTCTTCGATCCTGAAAGTGATTATACCAACCAGTCAGTTATCTTGCTAATATTTTATAATAAGTCAATAGGTATCAAAACGAAGCAAACCTCTCGATATGGATATTCGTCGGCTTCAAGCATCCTTACAACATGACTCATTTTGGGCCTTTTTTCTGCATCAGGATCAATACATCTAAGAGCAACCAGAAGAGAACGCTTTAAAGCGCGTGCAGATGGTTTAACTTCGAGTCTCGAGTCCACAACTTCCTCGGCTCTCCTTGCTCCCACCATCATCTTGAGCCACTCAACAAGATTAACCTGTCATTTGCGTAAGCAAAATCTCATCAGACATGTGAAGGATAAACAAGATAACAAGGTTCTAAAGGATTACGGTTACGCACCTCATCAGAAGGACGCGAATAATCTACAGGGTCCCTTCCAGTAACGGCTTCAAGCAGGAGGACACCAAAGCTGTAAATATCACTCTTCTCGTTTAACAAACCGCTATTGGCATATTCTGGTGCTACATAGCTGAAATCCGTGATAGAAGTTAAGTTCATAATTGTGTAAATAAATCCTAAATAAAACTTATCGAAAGAGATATTGAAATTTTCTTTATACCCAAATGTTCCCATTACTCGAGTAGTTATGTAACTTTCTCCTGATTCCAAGAGTTTGGCCAAACCAAAATCGGAAACTTTCGCATTGAACTCTTTGTCGATCAATATATTGCTGGACTTTATATCTCGGTGAATAACTTTCGGTTCTATTGCTTCATGTAAGTAAGCAAGCCTGCAACCAACCACAGTAAAATATAATATAACGAAAATAACATAATATTATCAAGATGATACATATTACTAATTTGCAAGCGGAACTTACGCTTTGGCTGTGCCGAGAATAACTTTCACGCGCGCCTCCCAAGTAAGTGTTCCGAGTTGGTATTTGTCGCCATGTAACCACTGTTCTAAGTTACCGTTGTTCACATATTCATACACCAGTAGCCTGAATAATAACCAGAAAACACATTCATTATATCATAGATAGAAGCAAAACATAGAGAAAAGGTTCGGTTTGAATTTGGAAAGTAGATTTAATGACTCTTAAGAAACATCAAAAGCTTGTGCTATTATTGAGACGAACGAACTTGTGAGAGCACTACACGTATATAACATGAAACGGCGAAATGAATACCTGTGAACTCCTTCTACGCAATATCCAAGTAGGCGCACAAGATGCTTATGTCTAACATGGCCTATAGCCTCCACTTCAACCCGGAATTCTCTCTCTGCTTGTCCCCTGTGAACTCAACGCGGAATGCAATTGTATAACAAAAGATAGAAAAAGAAGTCATTGTTTATGAATAGTGTCAATCTATGCATCACCGACACTTACACTGATACGACACTGATACGTGGAATGTACGTGTTTGTGTTTCGCTGGTGTCAAAATTATTGACAAAAAAACATTAAAAGGGTACAATAATAAAAATATGAAATGTCCTTACAAGTTGTTAAGAAGTTTCTTCACGGCAACATCGGTTCCATTGATCAGCCTGCCCTTGTAAACAACTCCATATCCACCCTCGCCGAGAATGTTCTCGGCCGAGAAATAATGAGTTGCTTGTTCAAGATCTCTAAGTGTAAACCAATGACCCCACCCAAGATGAGAAAATTCCGGCAAGCCAATCAAAGGAGAGGTGGTCGTTGGCCCTCCTCCATATGACAATGTAGATCGCTTCTTAAAATTCCCGGAGCTCCCTTCTTCCCATGACAGTGAACTTAATCCTCTCTCGTGATGATAAACTGAGCTGCATTGACTGACACTATCAGGATCACTGAATTTACCCGTCCTCATACGAACCGATATCTTCTCCAAATTGCTATCATTAGGAACAAACATGTTTCCATGTTGAACATGAGAATTCTGCACCCCAACAATGTCAACATTGATATCTTTTGACACATTCGGTATTTGGGGCTTGTCGAGAGATCTCCTACTCTTAGACTTCCTCCGAAACATCACCCATATAGACAATATACAAAGAATCACCACAATAAATGCTCCAACACCTATCCCAATCAAAACCCATCTTTTCAAACCCAAAACTGTTTTCTTTGATAATTCAACATTCAACGAATTATTTGGTGACATAATCGGTTGCTAGAAGTTAATCAAATTCCTCCTCCAAAGTTCTTCAACTGATAGAATCAAGGCATTCCTATCTGAGTACAAGAATCTAGTTAAGCACACCCTTTTGATTCTAATTCAGATATTTCAACAATCCCGTTAACATAAGGAAAAATCAGAAAGGGAAGCACTCATTGGTTGTAGTTTATCATAATCATAATTAAAGACAAACTCCAAACTAAATTTGAAGATTTAGATTTTCAAGCTTGAGTTTTTCTTTGGATAGGCAAATGCTAGTGGTTGTTACCTTACCGGTCAGTTAGTTTGTTAATGGGAGAGGGAAATGTTAGTAGCACGGATCTAACCTTAGACCTCCTACATAATACGTACTTTTTAGTCATTCCCAGATCGCGACGTGGAGCGGCCAACCCCAAAAGTGGGATGGCGTATAGCGGGACAACCGCTCTATTGAATCAGTTTTTTGAACAAATTGCATATAATAATTATAAACATATATTTAATAGAAAATTAAACAAATAACACAACTCATAAATTATTCATAAATCAAAGTACATATGACTCTTGAAGTGTATAAACGACTATGAAGGAAGGTTAAGGTTGAGTCTCAACTACAAATTTGATTGAAAACCCTAAAATTACCCTTAAAACGTTGTAAATTTAAGAGGTAATTTCAGTTTTTAAGAAGGGAAAAGGATAGTGGGCCAAAAACCGCTCTACTATGCTTTCTCGCTATTTACCCTATAGTTGCCGCTATAGTGTTCTGCACCAAGGCTCTTTCCATAGTGGTCGGCCTCTGCTCCGCTATAGCAGGATGGCACAGCTATTGACCACTATTGACTACTCTGATCCCAACCCAAACAAAGCGGCTAATCTGTTTGTCGGGGACAATTTTCAAGCTTGATTGTCAATGGCATAGAATAAATAACCTAAGTTCTAAGCATTCATTTGTTCTTAAATAAAACTAAATGACATTAACAAAAAAAGGAACATATAGAGAAACCACAATTCATTTCAAAAGTAAAAAAGTAAATGTTGATCGTCACAACAATCTGACACACAGAAAAAAAAAAGAAATTGGTAAAGCATCACTTATGATCCAAGCAAAGTGAAACAATAGATTATCCATTATTATTATCCAAAAAAGACAAAGCATATACCTTTGTGTTGATTCAAGGTAGCTATCTTCCTTGATCTTCTACCTTGAGGAAGCAAAGAAGCAACAAGTTTCACACTTCTTTTTGAACCAACAAACTCAATGTGCATAGCAGGCACATCAACACACAAACCCTACCACAAAATCCACAATTTCAGTATGGTACCCCACAAGTAAGCCACATACAAAATATGAAAATAAAACAAACCACTATTAAAAACCAATAATTAAAAGGAAATGCCAAATAAAATTCTGATTTTTATCATTAATGCCAGATAAAAATCAGATTTTTATGATTAAAAACCAAAACATAAAAGGAAATGCCAGATAAAAATCTGATTTTTATGAGAAAAAATGAAAAGGGTAAGAGAATTTGTAGGTTTTGGAAAAGAGAAAGGACAAATTAGTAAAATGGTTGATGGGTATTGTAGTTGTAGAACAACAAGACAAGAGCAAATTAAGGTGGAAATGAAACATGGTCTGTAACGAATGAAACCATAGAGAGAGAAGGGAAAGTAAAAAATGAACAGTGATGAAGATGAAAAAGCAATGTAATGTAATGAAATAAAATAACAAGAGTAAAGTGTAGAGAGAGAAAGAGAGAGAGAGAGAGACAATGAACCTGAATCCAACAGGAGAAGAGAAGTGAAGGTGTCGTATGGAAGCCCCAAATCTAGCTGTGCCGCTTATGTCATGTCTGCTTACCAAACTGTCATATTTGTGTGAAAAGGAAAATTCGCATGTAAATTTTCAATCTTTGTCTCTGTTTTTTCTTTGCTTTTCACGTTGTTTTTTTAACTTAGGCTTTGGTTTTTTTTGGACATAACACCGAATTTAAGGGTTCTAGATATTTTAGAAAGTTACTATCTACACCCTACCTAATAAGAATACTTTCACATTTTTTTTATTAAAAAATTATGTGAGTCGGACATTGAAAATTAAGGTATATTAGAATAGACTTCTACTCTTTAAAGTTAAATATAAGAACATATATATCTGTATATTAGTTGTCGAAGATAAATTTGTGATTTCTTAATATGAGTTAACTCTTTATTAACTTAGGCAATCATAATAAATATTTTCATACTTTAATTTATTAAAAAAATAAAAAAAAGTTATTTTAGTTTTAAAATATGTGTCAAAATTGTAAATATATTTGAGTTGGTCTTTTGTTAACAATTTTATTAGACTAAATTGATTGATTGAGGTTTTGGATTCAAAAAGCATAAATATTGATGTTGACATTACTTATAAACAAGTTTGTTTCAATAGAATGTGTTTATAACTTAATTTATTAAAGGTGTTTAGAGTGTGCACTTTTGCTAACTATAAGTTGTATTTTAGGATAAAAGTTGAATTAACTTTTTCATTTTTTTAGAAATTATAATTTTATTTATTTTATAGATTTACTTTGTTATATTATTTCTTTATACTAAATAAAGAAAAAGTAATTGATCTTGAACAATTGGTAACTCTATTTGATATTACTTTTCAAATAAGGTATTATATTAGTAATAGGTAAATATTTTACAACCTTTTGAAAATTTTAAACTTTTACTTAGTCAACATTCATTATTTCTTTTAAATATGTGTACTAATAAAATTCTAACTCTTATGTTGGTTAAAGATAGAGTCTATAAAAGATTTATATAGAATAATATCTCTTTTTACAAGTTAGTTTTTATAGAGATGAATTAGGTTAAACTCTAATTCTATCATAATGTCACGAGCCAATTGATTCAGGCCACCCACCATTTATATATATATGCACCAACCTCAAATAATGTTGGATGCAAGGGAGTGCATTGAAAAAATTAAGTCTCGCATATCGATAATTTAGGCTACTCACCGTTTATATATCCATGCACCAAGTCCAATAGTGTTAGGCGTGATGGGTGCATTGAGAAAAATCCTAGTCTCACATTGATTAAAGATAAAATCCATAAAAAGTTTTTATAAAGTAGTACTCCTCAACTTATAATCTGATTTTGTAGGGATGAGTTAACTCAAACTCTAATTCTATCAATGTGTGAGCAAGTATGTTTGAAAGAAATAATAGAAAATTAAACAAATTTAAATGTTCTAATTGTTTTTAAAGAAATTTTTTGTTATATGATAAAGTATAAAAAATTTAGTTAAATTTAATGTGAAGGTGATTTATATGTTAGATTAGTAAGAGGTGCTTCTAAAAAAGGGGGAGAGGATTGTGTCATGCCATCAAAGATTCTAGTGGTTGAGAATTTGAAATACCATGTCATTGTAGTTGTTGAGATTTGTGGTTATTGAAAGTTTGTGTGTGGAAAATGATTATTTTGATACTAGATAAGTGATGCGAGGGGATGTGAATGGAGTAAATTCAAGACCTATTTTAAAATTTGAAGCATTTTGTGTGGTCATATGAAGGAAAATGAGTGTTTATCAGTGGTCTTTGCACAAGGTATGCAAATAGTTATTATTGTTGAGTGAATAGAAAGGAGATAGTGACAAAAATGTTTATTATTGATCAAGTGACTCCAAATACAAGAGCGGGTGAATTGTATGTTATTCGAAAAACGATGTCTAATTATAAAAATGTGCTTTATCAAAAAATTGAGTTAATTTTATTATTAAAAAGGGTCTGAGCGGCAGAATAAAAGAAAGAGGAAGAAATGGAGATGAAGAGATATAGATAGTGTGTAAAAAAATTAGAAAATAAAGAGATAAGACAAAGAGATCATGCACCAAATATTTATACAGGTTCGACATAAGTATTTGGCCTAATCTTGTTCCCAAGAGCTTTATCTTGAGAATTTCACTAAAGATGTGAATTTTTCAAAGGTTATGCTCACGAACCTTCTTATAGATAAATGGAGATTTCAACTGCTTAATCTCACAAACAAAACAAGAGATATTAACAGATTAATCTTCAAACCAAACAGAGTTTTTAACTAATTGAATTCACAAACCAAATAGAGATTTTAACTAATTAATCTTAAAATCCAAACTGAAATTTTAGTTAATAAATCTTAAGAACCAAACACCTAAATTCTATAATGATATTACAAAAGAAATGATATTTTTTTGGTAAATCACGATAAATCCAAAGCAACAAACAACTCTCACATATACTTTTTACTCTCAAAGCACTAAGACAACCTTGTGAAGAAATAGAAAAATATGAAGTAGGAGAGAATAGAAATGAGTGTGTGTATATATATATATATATATATATATATATATATATATATATATATATATATATATATATATATATATATATATATATATATATATATATATATATATATATATATATATATATATATATATATATATATATATATATATATATATATATATATATATATATATATATTAAATTTCAAGAAAGGAAAATCCATCTATTTATAGGAGAGAGATATTTTCGAAAAAGGAAAATCGATTAAGAGCTTCAAATAGATGGAAATCCTAATCTCAAAATGGAAACCCTACAATTGTTATGTGTTTTAATCGATTAAGAGTATTTTTAATCGATTATGGAGCCTTTAGCCTTGTTGACTTTAAGTGGCTCTCTTGGCTTTGAGATATTTTTAAACAAATACTTCATTATTAATTGATATATGTATCTACCCCATATCATGCCTTCGTATCCTTATTGAACTTTCCACTGGTTTTTCTTCCTCGACATTGAACCTAATATGCCCCAAGATCTTCGTTTTTAAATCACCATATGGGTGCCACATATTCCATTTTCTATTCCTCCTTATCATGTGATGGATCACTACACTTGCTCAAATTTGTCTCAACTTTGTTAGCAAGTAACCAAGTTAAAGAAACCTCGGTTTTGGATATTTTCCTGAGGTTATGTTTTCTTGGGATGAGAATATGGGTTGCCACATACTAAATAAGGTGAATATTTGGGTGCACATAGCTATAAATGAAGGGAGAAGGAACATTATTATTTGGATTTAATAGGAAGGATGGAGGGGGAGAAAGAGAGAGAGAGAGAGTATCAACAAAACATCATTCACATGTCTTTAATTCATCTGGCTTGTACAACAAGCCAATGCATGGAAGATTATAAATACCACTAAATTCTTCTAGAGACAACGAGATTTGTTGCTTTCGTACCTTAGAAATGATTATTCCATCTACGTAGTTGAGGTTGGCGTAAAATATTTTTAATGGAGTAGGAAACATCTTTTATGAGATGTTGCTAATGAAACTCTTCAATTTTGCCTCATTAAAGTTTTTGTAGAACTCACAATCTTCTAACACACTCATTTCTAAGTAGTAAGTTGGCAATAGTTCTTTGATAGCATAATCTTTAGTGTACTTATTTTCCCGCTCTTGCAACGAAAAATCTTCTGAGATGTAGGATGAAGCAAAAGAACTTCCATAGGTTATGATTCTCTTTGGCGCCATTTAGTGACGATGAATGGAAAACTAGAGTATCCCTCACAAGAATTTACAAAAACATAAGAATAACTAGATAGTAAGAATAAGACAAGAAGATTTGAGATGGGATGAGAAGGAGACGATAGTGAGTTACCTTTTATAGATATGCCTTAATAGATTAGATGGGCTTTTAATTGATTAAGCACTTAATGCAATAGATTCTTATTGATTGATGGTGGCACACACATTTTCAGGGTTTTAATTGATTAAGCTTTTAGGGTTAATAGATTATGAGGCATAAAATTTGAATCTTTTTTGGGTCAAGTAGCCTAGTGACTAGAATTTCACCTTTTAAAGATAAATAAGTGAGATGTCATGGGTTCAAACTCGAATCCCTTGCATCTAATGTCCTTGCACAACTACCAATTGAGTTGATTTAACAGGACAAATTTAAATTTTAAAGCACCTAAACAATTAGCTCTTTAGAGTTTATCTATTAACTAGTGCATTTTCAGCTTCCTTGATTTGTTTGGACCTTGGATGGTTTTTGGGCTTAGCTTATTCTTTTTGCACCCTCTTTTACTAGTTTTTCAACCATTTGCTTACACATATTAAATTTTCTCAAGGACAAATGATGAGAAAAAATAAATTAAATTGACTAGGAAAATGAATAAGTACTTGTTAGAGGATTTGTCTGAGTTTTCTGGGTTTATCCTTATCAAGTGTGTTACCTCAAATATTTGAAGATTTTATAACTCTCCCCCATTGAAGAAAACGGATAAAATGATTGGAGATTCATTCATCTAAATTAATTTATATGAAAGGAGATCTAAAATATTTATCGGTGTATGTCAACTCTTTATTAACTCAGTCAATCTTGATAAATATTTGCACGTTTTAATTTATTAAAAAATGAAAAAAATATTTTAATTTTAAATGTGTTAAAATCATAAATGTATTTGAGTTTGTCTTTTTTATTGATGTTAGTGACTAAATTGATTGATTGATTCAGGATTTGTACTCAAAAAGCTCTTATGTATAGAAAATTGATTTTGCCATTACTTATAAACAAGTTTGTTTGAAAAAAATACTTTTATAACGTAACTTATTAAAAATGTCTGCATTGTGATTTTTGCTAACTATAAATTGTATTTTAAGATAAAAGTTGGATTAAGTTTTCTTTTTATAAATTATAAATTGTATTTATTATATGGATTCACTTTTTTATAATATCTATTTCTACTAAATAAATAAAAATAATTGATTGTAAAATTAAAAATTAAAAATTCTATTTAATGGTTATATTACTTTTTAAAAGAGTTATTATATTGGTAATTGGTAAACATGTTTTTTAAATAAAAGTTTAGGTTATTTAGACTCCAAAAACTTATCAAAATTGGAAGAGGCGTCAAGAATTAAAGAGAATTTACAATGTTACTATCCACTAAAAATGTAACGACATCAACAACAAAGTTAAACTACAATCTTTCATGTAATTTAACTTCTTACTAACTTAGTCAATATTCATTATCTTCTTAAAGATGTGTGAGCAAGTGTGTTTGAAAGAAATAATTAGAAATTAAAAGAAAATTGAATATCAGACAATTTAAATGTTGTAATTGATTTTTCTTAAATTGTTAGAATGAAGTATCATAGTTAAATTTAATGTAAAGACGCATTATATAATTGATTATTGAGGAGGACGAGATTGCATCATGTCCTCCATTCTGTTGTCGAAGATTTTGGTGGCAGAGAATTTTTTAGAATTTATCATTGTTGTTGATGGGATTCGTGGTTATTGAAATTTTTTGTGTGTGGAAAAATGCCGGCTCAGTAATAGATAGAGGATATGATGCGAATGAAGAAGTTTAAGGATTTATTTTAATTTTGAAGTGTTTTGTGTAGCCTTATGGAGGAAGAATAGCGTTTCTCAATCATTCTTGCATGAGATATATGATTGATGAGTGAATCATTGGAAGATAACAACAAAAGTGTTTGTCAAGTACTTATGAGTCTTCGACAGGTTATGTTGTAGCTTCGTTCTTCTGAATTTTTTTTGGGGGGAATTTATGGTTTGTCCGTTTGAGAGACTAAATAATAATTTTTTAGAGAGAAATTATAATTTTGGATACTGAGAGATAAATGAATATGTCAAAAATAAAATAAAGTTGTGTCATAAAATCAATTGGGGTGACAACTAAGCATACCTTAATGTTTTTTTTTTTTTATGGAAAATTTTAATATAAAGGAGTAAGTTGACTAACGGAGATATTTTTGAACGACTTAAAAATAATGTTTATTAACTAAGGGATCAAAATAAAACAATAAATTAAGTTAAGAGACTAAAAAGTCTAATTATGTCTAAAAAATTCATAATTAAATTTGAAGGGCATTTTTAAATAATTTAAAAATTGGATAAAACTTGAAAAATGGTGGTCATTTTAAAATTTTAAAAGTCTAATTTGCAATTATTTGAAAAAAAAATTTGAGGTAAATTAGAAAACTATAATTTTTTATTCAAATATAGGATGAAATGTTACTCTCAATAGGGTGAAGTTAGAAAGTTATTAATTTTTTATTCAACAAGATAATGAAATGTTACCGTCAAACGAATAATGTTTTTCAATATGTAACTGACATTATAAATTTAAATTTTAGAGTTGTAGAAATTATTTAAAAAAATAGTGAAAAAGAATGCATTTTCTTCAAATGATTTGATTTGATGATGACATTGTTAATGAACGGGATTTGATGATTGAAAGGCATGAGATGTAAATTTTAAAATTGAAGAACGTTATGGCTAATATAAAAATGGCTGAAGATATCAATGAAATTATGGGTTGTTTGTTTAGGATTTAATTTAGTGTTAGTAATAATGTTCTTTGTTAATGACAGTAAGGGATGAGGTTTTAATCTATTTGAAATTGTGTATTTTATGGTTATTTGAAATTCATGTTAGTAACAAATTTGTTATTCTTGTGTTTGTTTTAAGTATTTTTGTACATTCAATTAAAATTTATATTGTAATCGAATGTTGAATTAATATTTGAAAATAATGCGATAATTTGTCCAAATTATGCCCTTGTAATTTTGTGTTAAATTGATGTTAATGTCATTATATTTGAAGTTTTGTTATTTAACTTATGTTATATAAAACATGTGAGCAACTATGTATTATAAAACTTGTGTTATTAAACTTGATGTTCTTTTATAAAACTTGTATCATAAAATATGTGTGAAATTTTGTGCATCATATTGGATTATAAAACCTTTGTGATATAAAATATGTATTATAAAACCTTTAAAGATGTGTTATAAAACTCATGTGGAACTTTGTGATATTTGTGTTCAACCTTGTGATATAAAAGATGTATTATAATATTGAAGTGTAGATAATTAATTAACATACACATTTTATGACATAAAACTTGTGATATAAATCATGTGTAAAGTCAATTAATCATAAAAAAAAACTTATGTAAATTAGTTCATTGTATAGATTAAAGATGAAATCATAATATTACACGGTTGTTATATAAAAAATGACATCAAAATATTTAACCATTGTGACAACAACAAAAAATTAAACTAAATGGTGGGGCATAGTTGCTACACATTACATAAAAATATAGCATAAAGATACTAGTGTAATATAAATTCTAAACACATCAACTTTGACTTAAAATAATATTGGAAATTTTGTGGTAGTTTTCTTCTTCTTTGTAATTGGCTAAATTGTTGATGTTGAGTGAAATCTTTGCAATTTTATGGTAGAGCGAATACTTCTGATGTTGAATGAAGATGTGTATTTAATGAACTCTTCGAGTCTTCAGAATCTTGGCTTTGTCTTCAGAAATATGAGCAACAACTCTTCTGATGAGAAAATTTTGACTTCTGGTCTTGAAGTAGAAGCTTTCTTCACATGTGTTCAGAATCAGGGTTTCGTCTTTAGAATCCAAGCAGCAGCTCTTCTAATGAACGAATCTTGACTTCTGATCTTCTGCGTTGTAAGCTTGTTTCTTGTGTAGTCTTGATTTCTGATCTTGTAGAGCAGCTTATCAAAAACTCTTTCTTCTTGGAACCACATTAAGATTCTCTTCTTGTCGAACATTCAGCATTCCATAGAACTATTGATGTTATATTAGAAACAAAATTCAATAGTTCTTCTTCTGAGTGATAATGTGATTGTGATGATTGAAACAACCGGCTGAAAATCATCAAACAGTGAAGTCACCATCGAACGTCTTTTATCCCACACAAATGGAAAGGTAACCATCGAGAAAACCTGATAAGGGAGAAGTCACAGTCTTACGATCGAGAGACCGGGTAAGAGAGTCTGTTACACGAAGGGAAGGTATTAGTACCCCACACACTTATAGTATTCTATGATATCCACTCTTGTTATCTATCTTATGGGTGTGTCTAATTTATGCTTACTGTTTACTACTGAGGAAGAATGCATGCAAAAGAAAGGAAAAAATAATGTAGGAAAAATAAAGTTTTGCTCGCTTGGGCCCTACCTCAATGCATG